AAGTCTATGTGTCCTCCTGAACATTCTTTCTTACATTTCAAATAGTATTAAACCAAATACCGTATTATAATAGTAAAATATATAAGTAAAGAATGTCTAACTTAACAATTTTTAAAAACAAAACAAGAAAGGTTACTTTCCCAATTTATAATCTCTATGTGTCAGTAAGCTGTTGCAGCTTAGACAAATTGCCGTACAAAGAATTTGGCATTTAGAATCAAGCTAAGGTATTATTTGTTATTATCTAAATACACCCGAAGGCTCTACTGCGAAGTGAATGCGTGCTCCACACTTAAATACTAATCACATCGACTTCGGGTCTTCGGGCGTGATTGATGGCACGTCTATCTTTTATTTGTTAGCTTAAACTCATCAAAATAATCAGTACAAAAACTACAATACATATTATTCGTCTTAGAAAACGCAAATGAAAATATAAAGCATACGTAAGTGTCAAGGTTAAAATCATATCATTTTTACATGATGAAGGAGAACACAAGCCTGGGGTTCACTCGATGGTACGTGAAAGATAACTACTAAACCTACTAACTGTTAAAACGCGATATATTAGTTAAACTTTATAATATAATAAAAATAATATTTATATAAGATAAAAAATAAAACTGTCTGTAGATAGTAAAGAACAAAATATTAAAAGATATCAGTTGGTCTCATTCAATGATCAGCTTGGACTAGTTCTTTAAGTAAGAACTAAGAAGCACAACATTTGTGATAAGTTTTGACATGTACTTGAAATCCATATTTACTTTTATATAACAGTATATGCATATCAACTTGACATAAAAACATAGATATATTTTCTTATGTCAGAATAAGATAGACTTGAATTATATATATAATTCCTTAAATCGTAATCAGAAACTCGCTCTTACAACTTCTATAAGTGTTGATGTAAGTATATTATGTGGATCTTTGTTTTATTTCCACGGCTAAAGCCAAGAAACCTTTTCTAGATTGTTTTCGCAAAACTTAGGAATTGTTTTATTATGACGGAAGAGGATAGACAATTTGACAAAGGTGAAATATCTTAGCCATATAACATCGAAACTGAAGATGCCAAAATTTGGATATATCTACCACCCATTTAACTTTGCCAACTTAATGAAGGTTTAAACAAAACCTTATCTACATGACATAGTTTTTAAGTTGGCAGTTAAGTTCGTATTTTAAAATAAATAACAAAAAAGCTATCAATCTCCCACAATCGCTATTTACGTAACTTACCACACTTCGAAGTCCACTAAAATTGATGAATATTGCCAAAGAGATAATCGTCGCGTCATCTTACCTAATATATCTTAATTGTTATGTTAATATGCCTGAGTGTTTCCCTAAGACATAACACCGTCACGATAAATCAATTTCTCCCCGTGTTAACTTTCCCATTTTGTTTATACTTTCTATTGCATGGCTAGACGATTTATTCTCAATAGTAGCAGTTGTTGAGTAACGATTAGGTTACCGAATTTTTTATCGAACATAGTTGGTCTACAAAACAGGAATTTTATTATAAGCAACGTCTTTTCTCCTCCACACACTAAGAACTGAAAAATACATTTAAATATTATTCATTTAGTAGTGGTAGTACGTACTATAGTAGGCAAAATTTTAAAACTACCAAGGAAATTCAAAACGTGGGAACGACATGTATAATGCCATCATCAATATATAAAATATTAAAATTTTCAAACTAACGAGGAACTCAATAAAAAAATAACAACCGTTCCTCCTATCAAACTTTAATTCATAACCAACGAAGCTTATACAAACTTATCTTCATAAAAAAATCTCCATCAGATTCATCCAGGCCCAGGGGCCGTTAGGTTTTCTTTAAATAAAAAGTTGTGGAGCAACGTCGGCTCAAAATTGAGAAAATTACGAGTCGATGATGCCGAAATTAAATTTGTATCAGCCATCAAGGCGTGAGTAACCGTCGGGTTATATTTAACCGGCGTATCGATAATGTTGCAAGCTCGAATTTAGTTTACAGGATATTAAAAATGCTTCGGTACAATATGATACAAGACTTAACATTAGGCTATTGGTCATTATATTTTTCTTGTTCTTTTTTTAAAACTTATTTAGAAATCCAGTGTTAAGAAACTACAGACAAGAAATATAGAAAATATATTAATTCTTTGGTGAGTAAAGAATTGAAAGAACCTTTTACATAGTCTGTTTAATACGAATACGTCTATTTTTAGCGACGCAAGACTAACCACTTAGTCCGAAATCTGAATCAACAATCTATGTTCGGAAAACAACGCCTCAGCAGATGTTTCATTACCTATAAATATTCTTCCAAAGACGACTTACTAATTGGTTGACAACGGAATGTGATAAAAAATATAGAATCATGACTTTTTCTACTGTAATATTTATTTTTAATTAAATCCGTACAATATTTAAATCTTTAATTACATTTATTTGATTGATTAAGAATTCAATAAACTAAATAACGTAATCATATTTCAATTGAAACTATTGGCATATAATTAGTCGTTATAAATTGTCATTGTTCTATAATCTGACGCTGCAATTAAATGTTATAAATCATATATAATAATAATAATATAGTCGGGCGCTACGTGATTATACAATACATTTATATTGTTTTGTTTAAATATTCTACTCGCCTAAAGTTATTTACTTTTATTATAGTAAAATTCTGCGTTAAAAATTCAAATGATTTCCATAAAGTCAAAATCATAATAGCGCCTTTAAATCTAAATAAATTGTGCTAATTATTAATTAAATTAGGTTTTAAAAGGGCTTTACATGGCTAATCCCGCAAACATAGTCCATACATAAAACAGCACAGTCAACGAAGTCGTGGCAGTGATCGTGAAGCCTAGAAAATGTATAGCTCGACATTTTATACGCCTTTGTTCGGTTTCCGGTTGTTATGCAGCAATTGTAAAATGTTATAATTAAATATGGAAGAGGTGTAATTTGAAAATGTATGATCTTAACTATATACTCTTATATTCTCGTCTATAAAATCACGACCCGACGGTCTTTGCGTCGAATTCCAGAGTGGCTTAGTAGTTTTGTTCGGGACCCATTCTATGAGGTATTTAATATATCAGGACAAGATATAGGGAGATAGACAAGCTTGTGGTTAAGTTAATGGAAAGTAAAAAACCCCATATAACATATGACGAAGATGTGTTATCAACCAATTTTGGATTAACTTAAACATTTATAAGAAACGATACAGTTTTGGTATAGGCTGATGTTTATTTCAATCAGTAAACAAATTATAATCATTAATTAGTATAATAAACACATTACATAATGCTTGTATGTTATTTCATAGCGTCCTAGAAAAATGATACACTTTATATAACCTTAATTATGTTATAAATTAAACTCGATACTCAAGTTAGTCATTATGAACACGGAAACGACTAAATATTTACGTAATAATATATATTTTTAATCAAACAGTACAACATTTAAATATAAAAATAAACAATTAATTATAATAATTATATTTTTCAAATTATACGTTTCATTTGAAAAACATAATCTGTTAAGAAATAATTATATGAAAGCTTTGAAAATGTAAAATAAGTTAAAAATAATAGTGACACTGACAAGACTCGAACATTTGAACTTGAATAAGTAGAGCAACAAAGTTCCACGATGTCTCGAAATTTCAAACTAGAAAAGTCAAATTGTTATACGTGTATAAGCCAAATGGCATTATTACAGTTCCTTACAAAATATATAAATTTCGGAATGATTTACAATAACTGGAGTAATTATATTATGAAACGCACACGCACTCAATTTTTTAATAGGTTATATTACAGGAAGAAAAGATACACACCGAAGTGATAATAAAACGTCCTAAACTTTGATAATGTGCAGATACACCAGAATTTTCCAACATCAAGAATTTATTAGCAAAACAAACAATAAATTCAAGACGCAAATTATAGAAATATGCACTAAACAAAGAGGTGTGTTTACAATATTCTCGTTCTAGACGAGACATTATCTTGTTTGTTTTTGCGATTAGGTTTGCGGAATTGGCCACCAACCTATTGACACAGTAGTGCTTATCAATGCAAGTCCTGATAAGGGCTTTTACCGGGCATTAGATGGTAACAAAGGGAAATTCAATTTCCATTACAATTATGTTGGCGGGGTGAAAGTGGATTCCTTTGTACGAATTTCAGGTCAAAATTACACCTTTTTTAACCATATAATTATCAGAATTTATCGTAAAAATTAATAATACTTTGTTATATGTTCATAATAAAGAAGCAACTTCCACTGCAGGGTCTTTTAGGCGTCAGTTTTACTATTTTTAATAAGTAAACTAATCTACTTACCTTATTAAGCTGTACTTATTAAATTATTGTTATTATTGAATATTAAATATAACTATAAAAAAAAGGTTACCTAGTCATTTCATTAGACGGATATATAAAGGTCTGTGTCCGAACCTGTAAGTGATCAGTTTTTTGCTTCTATAACTGAAAGTTTTGGTCAAAGTGTATTAAGAGCGTAAATTAGTTTAAAATAAGCTGCCAATTCAATGACACAGAAACATAAAGCATAACAGCGGATATAAATCAGGCACGATACGATATTGTGGCAATTAAATTGAGAAATACCAGCTGTTTTGGTTCACGGAGCCAACAGTCAAGTAACCTGTTAAAAGCTAATTATAACCGTATAAACATTTGAATTTGAGATCAATTTCTTATTTGAGGGTAAAACTATACACTACTTAATAAAAGTATTTAAAAAAATATTATCCCTAAATAAAATTTTTAAGGTGTTATTTACTTAAAGCAAAAAGGTAGAGATTGCTGATTCGCGTGCGAAAATAAATCTATTTATTAAAAAAAAAGAAAAAAAAAAAAAAAAAATAAAAATGAATCTATAAGTGGCTGCACGTTTATAATAATACAGAACTAAGTAAAGAAAAATCTATAAATTAATATTTTTAATAAAAAGCTTACCAGATTTCCCGCTCCTAGCACTCCCGAGTACCACGACCCTTATTCGATTGACGGTCATCTTCATCTGTTAACACAACACTATTGAACAGTCAATAAATCATCTATACTATTACGTTCGATAATCTGTGATCGCGTTGGCGCCAAAATCAGCTGTTTGAAGATTGCGGTCACACGCGCGCCCAACGCACCTGCTAGTGAGCGACTGCAGCGTCAAACGATATTGGCGCAAACGCTGTCGCAACACTATCATCTAAGGAAACTTTTAACTGCATCTAGATATGTCAGGTATCTGTTATAAAATAACACATATGCGCATAGTCTATGATAATCAAGTTAAATTCTTTAATCTGTGGTTATTTTATTACTCTTAAATCTTATCGAAATTAGCCGCTAATCTAAATTGATCTACATCAATTGAAATGTCTCTCTGAATACTAGCAATAAATTTACAGTTACATTAAGTTGCACATGTCATGTTTTGGACCGTGACAAAAAAAGCAATTAATACAAATTAGTACATAATACAAATAAATATTTGTGACAAGTTTGTCAGCACAGTTAAGACGAGCGAGTGCTTAATCCGGCGGGAAATTATGCCAACGTGAACTGATTGTATGCTGATTTAATACCCGTTCGGCATAAATATGGCTGTTGCTATTCGCTAAATATCAACGAGGTATATTAAGGTCGTTCACATTATGTGCGACAACTGACAGTAAGGGGATTATATATTTTACAAAAAAAAGTTAATTACAAACGCCGCAATAAATGTATTGCGTGCTATTGCCCTCAAAAAATCGTTCTGGCCAACAATAAAAAATATATTAACAGTGTTCCAATTTTGAAATTAAAATGTCAAAATTGTTGGTACTGTGACAGGTTATTAAAAATCTTCTCATAGGAATTCATCATATCAAACTAGCCAATATACCTAGCCATTAACTTACGTGTTGGCGACGTTTTTATTTATTTAAACATTGTTAAGAGAAATGTTTATGTTAAGATTAAACAAAAAAACTACATGCACGAAAAATTTGTTGGTATAAAGAATTCACGCGATAACGGACGCTGAGTAATATAAGAATTTTAACAGGCTCTTTGTTAACATTCCAGGTTACTTCGTCAGAACTTGGATAGATTTTTATCAAATTATGCGAAAATCATTTCTTTCTCCTCTTTTCATACAATGTAGTTCCAAATTATGGTAATTATAATTAAACGCTAAAGCTTTAAATCTACAGCCTCCTACGGATTTGCCTGCTTTATATAGCGTTGATTTTAGATACAAATGAATGCAAATAGATTTCCAACTTGCAACAACAAAGCACAGGTACCAATTGTTATAATTAATAATTTAAATATTCGTAGCTGAATTCGTAACTGAAACATTCGTAACTTCAAAGCCAATTACAGCGAAATGCAAACAATGGATCAATAAACAAAGCAAATATAACCTAATATAAACCTTTATATGTCATGATCTGATATTCCTTATTCATTAAAGCATTATTTACTATCTTCTTGTAGGGACTTTACCTTTATCAACCAGGATTTATTGATAACTAGCTTTTGTACGCCATTTCGTTTGTGTCTTTGACTTACAAATATTATTATTTCTAAATTAATATATCTAAACAAAGTTTTAATCAATTGTAGTTTTTTTTAATTTGAATTTTAAATTTTGTTTACACTATTACCTATGGTTGATCCAAGATCTTCGATCTTTGTAGTAAAGGTTTTAATCTGTATTTGATTCATTAAAAATCTAGTGTAATGATATAAAAAAAATCATATAGACAGACAGAAACCATTTATGTTCAATCCGTCGTTCTTTCTATATCAGGATCATTTTGTAAAATATTAATAAAATTATATAACGTACAGACAAACAATTTCTATCGCTTTATTATATCATAGATTATACATTGACCTGGATGATTTAAGTCGCATTATCATTATCTTCGTTCATTTGTTCTTGTAAAGTGCCCGCATTCCATTTTATGACAATGCAGTTATGGTTTATAAGTTACTGCTTACTAGCTTTGACTCACGACTATTAGTAACGGCCAAATGTATGTCTAGGCTTTAGGAATTGTTTGAGAGCACTCCCAAGACTAATTGAAGCTCACTTAGACTTTTTAATTGACGTCTAAGTATTATTTTTAAGTAACTCCAATGTATTTTCTGTTACAACAACAGTATGACAATTACAGTATTTTCATAAGTTATGTCTTATTTTTATACAGGTCTTAATATGACAGCATCTATTAGAAGAATTTTAACCTTATATAGGTATTTGACGTGTGTATAACATCAGTTGAAATGGCTATTACATTTAATATGTCTTGTTTAAATTGTAGGTAAACATTTGTCACACGGCCAGGACGCGAACCCACGACAATAGCGTACTGTGTCGTGTCCGTCATTAATTAATTTTGTCTTTCAGTATAAATATTAACCCTCGTGCAATGTTCAACCTTAGGCTTTTTGATACTATATCCTACGCCTTTCAGCGTACAATTGACGATTGGTGATGTAACTACAAACGCAACAAACTACTTGGTATATGACAATACTTAAATAAGTGGCGAAGTTATTGGGACTTGTATAGTATTGTATTTTAATCCATTCTAGACTAAAATGCCTGTAATCTTGCAAGATTCAATTGTAACCTATTTATTTAACTATGCATTGCGAATCTGGAATCTGTAGAACACTTTGTAACGCAGAAACAAATGTTTAGTTCTGAGAATGGTTCTTTTTAAAAATGATGTCATAATAAAAACAGTGGCAGACGACACCTGTGGCGATATTGTAGGACTTCTCTGCGGTTACACCCCACTACTTTACTGACTTCATCCGCCCTTCGATACTAATTAACATGATATTGGAAAACAATTTATATTATTTTCTGAAACGTCTAAAAATGATAAAACTGTGAAATTTTTGCGTGGCGGTTTCAGTCTGTGGATTTTCGAAAGCCAAAATAAGGGTGATAGCGTCCTCCTCTATTATATGTATATAATATATTAAAAATATATAGATTTTAGCTACATAAGGACAAGTATTGAATAATTTTGTTATCAGATGATTGAGATTTTATTGTAATTAAAATTAATGCTAAATAACCCGTGTTACCCTTCTCCCCCCTCCCCTTCCCCCCACAAAAACCAAAAACAAAATAGTAGTAGTAGTATAAATCATTCAAATTCACTTACCAAGTATATCAAGTGAAACTTGTCCCGATCATATTTTTATGAAGTGCCGATTTCCAATCGTTTAAAACTATAAGCTTTCCCTGCTGCAGTGAATTCATATGGTTAGTGATCAATTTGCATCTCAAAGAAGTGTTAAACTTTCACGCGATTCCTTAATTACTTAACGATTGTGATTAAGGCCAAAAAAGGTGCGTCTTAAAAGTAGTGTTTGTGACTCGCTTCACCTAATTTTACTTTCGATATTATTGGGAACGGGTCACCGCGAATGCATTTATCTTCATCAGGTCATATACACCGCATTTTACTTTCAATCGGCTAATATCCCACGGTTTACAATACATGATAACATTATTTAAATTCTGAAATAAACAAGTGATGCTTTGAGATGCAGTTTTTTCAGGAGATCGATAAAGTAATCTGAGACCTAAATTTTATTAGAATTTTGATATAAAATATATCGACCTATCGAATTTGTTATAGTAATTATATTATATTAATCAGCAATTATATTAGCGATATATAATAGTTAATTTATTTCCAATTTATTTAAACTGCTAAAGGTTTCGGATGCTTTGTAACAGCCGTGGTCACGGGGGTCTGAAGATGCATGGTGTCTATATTTTAAAAGTCAATTCTGCAGAACTAGCACTAACTATGACGAAATAAATGGTACTTAATTATATTATAAATAAGTTAACTTATATGTAATCTTTTAAATCGTTAAAAATGTTTTGTTTCGTGTGTACTACTCGCGCAAATTGTACATTACATCCAATGCTTTGTAGCATTTTTTTTACTACGGATTATTCACTGAATTATACACAAAGATGATAAAGAATACGTCGTTCGCTTTCAACGTATACGCACTGCGTATACGTATATTGAATGATAAAACATGACTTTAATGCGTCAATATCATACACGTGTGTAAACATTAGTGACATAATAATTATTATCATTACATAAACCTAGTACATGATAATTTAATAAATCTATAGACCTGTATCGAAAAGCAAGCTTTAAGTATATGGGGCGGACCGGGGACACGGGGGAACCTTTGTTGGAGGGGGAAAGGGGGGGTTGGGAGGGGGGGGGGGGGGAAAAGGGGGGGGGGGGGGGGGGGGGGGGGGGGGGGGGGGGGGGGGGGGGGGGGGGGAGGGGGGGGGGGGGGGGGGGGGGGGGGGGGGGGGGGGGGGGGGGGGGGGGGGGGGGGGGGGGGGGGGGGGGGGGGGGGGGGGGGGGGGGGGGGGGGGGGGGGGGGGGGGGGGGGGGGGGGGGGGGGGGGGGGGGGGGGGGGGGGGGGGGGAGGGGGGGGGGGGGGGGGGAGGGGGGGGGGGGGGGGGGGGGGGGGGGGGGGGGGGGGGGGGGGGAAGGGGGGGGGGGGGGGGGGGGGGGGGAAGGGGGGGGGGGGGGGGAAGGGGAGGGGGGGGGGGGGGGGGGGGGGGGGGGGGGGGGGGGGGGGGGGGGGGGGGGGGGGGGGGGGGGGGGGGGGGGGGGGGGGGGGGGGGGGGGGGGGGGGGGGGGGGGGGGGGGGGGGGGGGGGGGGGGGGGGGGGGGGGGGGGGGGGGGGGGGGGGGGGGGGGGGGGGGGGGGGGGGGGGGGGGGGGGGGGGGGGGGGGGGGGGGGGGGGGGGGGGGGGGGGGGGGGGGGGGGGGGGGGGGGGGGGGGGGGGGGGGGGGGGGGGGGGGGGGGGGGGGGGGGGGGGGGGGGGGGGGGGGGGGGGGGGGGGGGGGGGGGGGGGGGGGGGGGGGGGGGGGGGGGGGGGGGGGGGGGGGGGGGGGGGGGGGGGGGGGGGGGGGGGGGGGGGGGGGGGGGGGGGGGGGGGGGGGGGGGGGGGGGGGGGGGG